AGAGAGAGAGAGAGAGAGAGAGAGAGAGAGAGAGAGAGACACTGCATCATCAATTCCGGTAACCCCGCTGGCCGCAGGCTCTAGGAGGGAGAGAATAGGAGAGGGGCAGGGACAAGAACGAGGAGGGTGACATCATGACATACGCAAGGATGTCCAAAGCCGTCTCCAAATGACAGCAGCAACCCGAAAAGAAGTCCCATGCCTCTACCGAAGCATTTTCAGGCTTGCACGGAAATGGCAGGCAGTATCAGGGCAGATGGAAGACACCATCAAAGAATAACAGTACATACTAAATGAAGCCATAACACTGTTCCAGAAAAACAAAAATCTCACAGACCCAGACCTGATTAAGCAATGTATAGTTGAATGCACAGCCAGGATTGAGATTGGACTGCATTTCCAGATTCCTTATCCAAGACCTATCCATCTGCCTCCAATGGGTCTCACCCCACGACGAGGCTGGGGACTTCAAACCCATGAGAAACTGAGAAAACTTTCCAAACCAGTGTATCTGAAGTCTCATGATGAAGTTTCCTAACAAAGAGGACAGTTTACTTTTGAGGGAGGTGAGCCAACTCGGTTTTGAATGTAAACCAAGCAATATAACCTTCTTGATTAGAAGAAAAAATTACCTTCAGACCTCCAAAATTGGTCTTCACCTATAACATGTGGCCGCAGGCATCCCTAGAGTTTTTTAGGGTCTTATTTGCTGCCTGAGCTGAGGACTAGCTTGGTGATCAGGTCTGATGGTCATTTATGGTGTCAACTTGACTACACCTAGAATTAACCAAAACCCAAGCATTTGGGTACCTGTGAGGGATTTTTTGTAAATCATTTAAAGTTGGAAGATATACCTTTTGAGGTAGGAAAATACACTTTTAATCTGTATCACACCTTTTAGTTATAGCTTATATAAAGAACATGAAAGAAGGAAGCCTTCATTTTTTGCCTGCTTGCCCTTACTCACTGGCATTAGATTCTACTTCTTTGGGATTCTGACATATCCTGAAGACTAACTGAGACATCCGGCTTCATGGACTGAACAATTACTGGATTTGAAGACAGCCATTGTTGAACTAGCTAGCCCACAGCCTGTAAGCCCCTCTAATAAATCCCGTGTGTGTGTGTGTGTGTGTGTGTGTGTGTGAGAGAGAGAGAGAGAGAGAGAGAGAGAGAGAGAGAGAGAGAGAGAGATTTTCATTCTATCAGTTCTGTTCCTCTAGAGAACCCTGACTAATACACCAGGTTTGCCTGATGTCATCTGCTGAGCTATTTATAGCAGAGCTTGCTGTTTCTTGTCAAGCTCTGACCGTCTTTGCCCAGGACTCTAGCATCTAACTCACCATGATTTCTGAAGAACATATTCCCTTTCCCAGGGGGAAACATCATTACCACATTGACCCCAACTGAAAGTGACCTCAAAGTTAGGGCAATCTTTGTTTTCAAACTGGAGGAAATACTTTAAACTTCAAAAACGTAATCCACCACACAAAAACATTTTGTCCCTTGACCCTGGAGGAATAAGGCAATCCTTGCCTCTCTCAGCTTTTCAGTGTTGAATGAAGCTGGAGTTAGATAACTATAATTAAAATTCATTTGCTCTCTTAGCAACGCCCTCACACCAGCTCTTCCACAGCCTGCAATATGACTGACCTACCATCCAAGAGTTACAGGGTTGGATCTTGTCTTTCTATCTCACATGACTGATCTTATTTGGAACGATACAATCATCCTAACTGTTAGTGCTTTCAAATTTATCCACACAATGGGAAAAAGGAGGTTTCTTTCTTAAAAAGAAAATTAAAAAACCCTTTAGTGACCTAAAAGAGAGAGAGAGACAGAGAGACAGAGAGACAGAGAGACAGAGAGACAGAGAGACAGAGA